CAATTCCATCCAAAATTAGTGTCTTATTTTATCTTTAACAACATGTATATAAATGTAACACGGTGACAGTTATATACAACAAACAGGTGATGTCTGCCTAGTTGATTAATATAGGATAAAATATTTTTGAAATGTAGGCAATGAAGCTGTGGAGCTAATTACATCTACAATACTTTTTGCAATAATACTTTAAAAAGTTTTTCTCTTGCCATGTAGTATGTACCGTACCTTAATTAACATTACATCCAAAAGTATGCAAAAAGATTGCATGTATAAAACTTTTAAACCTACCATTTAACATGTCGAAGGCAAACCTACTATTTCTTGCAGAGTTTTTCCCAGTATTTGGCATGATAAACAAATTAACAGAGCTTTTTTAGTTGCTTCAATATATTAACGGGGAAGGTACACTGTATTTAACTGCCAGATGCAACTATGATGACGCCTGTTTAACTTTGTTAAGTATAACATCCCTCAGTTTATGTTCGCAAAATGTGCATTTTGAAATCTGTGGAACTTTTTCCATCCCGCAATAGCAATAATTTGGAGTTTCAGTGGCACGTTTTGGGATATAATGCACCGATACTGATGAGGGCTTGTCAATATTGTAGCCCCTTTCCCTCAGCCACAAATTAGATATATATTCATGACGGAACACTTGTTCCCACCTATTCCTGTAAATGGTGTTTTGAGAGTATCGGGCTATTGAAATATGTTTGGCTTCCCTGCCTTCCATCGAATTGAGCGCAAGGCCCATGCCATATTTTTTCTTCATTTCTTTCATGTGGAGTGGAACAATATGGGCTAAATGCCACACGGTTGGGTGGTGAGAGAAGAAAAGGCAATTAAGTGTAAATAATGTCCTACAATGACTCTCAAGCTCAACCAGGTCTGTGTCTGTGATTTCAATACGACTAAACAAAGAGACACAATTTCGCAAAGTGAGACAAAAAAAAGCAAGCACATGAATTGTAAAGTGCCTCTTAGTGCCTGGTTGTGTTGACGGCTCCACAACCCCTATGAGATACATAAAATTATGTAAAAATCCCCTGGATTCTTTACCAGTAAATCTGTAGTCAAAATTCTTTCCTTCGGCTTGTGTCTCGTTGAACCACTTTATAATTTTTTTGGCAAGTCTAGAAAGGCAGCATTTGGTTTTCATTACACCTATATACCTGACAATCGGAGAACTAGATGGAATCTCAGAAAAATTTTTGATGGCTTTTGGGAGGCTAGAAATGGCAATAACCTCATCTAGAAGGTAGCGATGAGCAAGGGTGCAAGCATTATTCTTTAAGTGTAGTGGTTCAATGTGAATTCGATCAACAATGGGACCTAACAGGGGAATAAACTCTTGCCGGCTTTTCAGTTTTGCAATTAATGATGTGATCTTAGATCTTTTAGTGCGATCTGCCGATTTCTCCTTCGAAAGTGTTTTCTTTAAACCCTCTACCTTCTTAACAACAGTTAGTCTGGATGAATACTCCCAAGGATGCCAGGTGTTATTTTCCTTTACCCCAAAAGTCCCCTTGACTTCATTTGCACTATCATTACTAACGTCTGCAAATGAGGAGAAATGTTTAGCACTATTGCTTAACTCCCCACTTAGAAAGGCTATCATTTTCATGTCATTTGGGAGTTCAGCTACGCAAAATTTAACATTAACAGTTACCTCACCCTCGGGCCCATCATACAAACACGGGAATACACTTTGCTCAATATGTTGAATATCGGCCAAAAGCAGTTTAATATACCTCTGCATTGGAATACAATTTTCAGAACAGTTTGCCCCAAAGAGTAAATAGTTTTCTTTACTGCTCAAAACTCCACGTCCTATATTCAAGAATCCTACCAACCAGGCAGTTGCTGTATCGTCTTTCCCAAATGGTGCCCCGTCCCCTCCTAAGGTTATTAAAAAGGTATATTCTTCCCCGAACCAGGTTAGGGTATAACCACTTTTGCCAGACAAGTAAAACTCTGCAAGACGTAGGAGCAGCTCCTTCAAGCTACGATAACAACCGCATACTTTATCATCTTCATCAAGATCATCACAAAGAGTATCGTACACACTGTAAATATTACCTACATTTACCGATTTAATAAATGGCATAAGCTTGTCATATGGTACAAGCCTTGGCATGGGGCATTCATGGATGGAAAGACGGACACGACCCTTACTGCTATTACTTGTCTTATAACAACTATTTCGGTATATTTTTCGATATTTCTTTTTACCAGCTATGCCTCCACAATAATAGACACTAACGCTTCTGATCATATTCTCTTCTGAAGACTCATATGCTTTTAAATTTCCTTTGTATATAGACGGCATAACATGCTTGGTGAATTTTTTGTTGGCAGACATTACATCGACTAATACATTTGAACTACATTTGTTTAAGGCAGTGTCTACTAAACCTACAGCTCCTGGTACTGAACTTTCCCTGCTACCTCCATGGATTTCCTGGGCAACCATAAAGGTTTCCTTCCTTCTCATCCTTGCATTAGGTGTTGTTAGTGTAATTTTACCATTCTCAAAACCAGTGGGATTGTCCTTTCTACTCTGCAGTGCCTTTTCAGACAATTGACTAGCTCGACTCTTTTTATCAGGTTGTCTCAGCTCTTGCTTAATATCTTCAAGGTCTTCTATCTGACTAACTATGTTCTCTACCTATCACAAACAACAGTTTAGAGTAAGGAAATATTTTGATAAGTACTGTATATACTATATAGTTAATTTCTACATAGTACACACTTTTAAATTAAGGTTTGAAAATGCCAATAACAGGGGCACGTTTTATTCTTACTATGACTTAATTTACATGTGAAAATTACTATCATACCTTTGCATCGAGATTTCTAAGCTTTTCGTCCATTGCATGCGATTGTTTTCTTTTCTTAGCCAGCACGATTTCACGTTCTACAATTTCCGTTTCGATCTGTATAATTTGGCGACTGCTTTGTACCTTTTGCTCGAGTTTTTTCTCCTCCATCTGCTTTCTCTTTCTCCTGTATTTGCCAATATTAAATCGCGGCATATTGAGGCCGTGTAACCGTAGGTCCTTTATCAAATCGTGCGAATAAACAAGATTCCAAATCGAAATCCACCAAACAAAAAACAACACCTTATACATGAAAGTTCACGTTATTCACAACAGGTAAAGTTCCTTTCAAACAGGCAGTGGTGTCCAAAATAAAACAAGGGTGAAAATCCCATCTCTACAATCCAAAGTGACAACAACAAAACTTCGCAATGTTTACTCGCTCACGATGCAAAAACAGATTTGTAAACCTATACACATTTGGTGTCAAAATGAAGCTCTAGTCAAGCTACGTTAAATACACGTAACCGATTTCAAGACGGCTTTAACCGATCGCTGTACGACGACGCGGAAAAGTAGCTCGGTCGACTATCGTAATTTCGTACTCAGGTTCAATTATTGATATTCGGCAACATGGCGGAACATGCACGAACGCGCGTCGATTTTTCCCGCATTTTATGGCCGGCGTGTCCGATACTGGTGAAGAAAGTATTGAAAAGAGATGATATAGATTGCGAGTTCTTGGTTTCGACGCCGTCCGATATGATAGATGATGGTGCTGAAGAATGTGTGTTGCGCGATGTTAATTCATTGAGAGTTTTCCAAAGGCCATGCAGAGGCATTATTTTTGTTTTCTTTTATCAAGGACTCGTAATATTTGGATTTGCATTCACGTACTGCTTTGTTTACAAAACAGCGAAGCTTACGGTATGACGACCAGTGATGTTGTGACTGTGTTTTTTGTGCCTTCTTCAGGTGATAGTCTCGATCTTGCAACGCTCGACTTAATTCAGCCGTCATCCATGGAATGCTAATTCCCTTAACTTTCATTTTCTTTATTGGCGCGTGCATGTCTGCTATGTCAGTAAAACATTGACACCAGCTGTTGACGGTAGCATCAACGTCGTTTTCGTCTACAAAGGTAGACCAGTTGACGTTTTCAAGATCTAGAAGGAAGGACTGTTTATTGTAATGTTTATAAGATCTATATTCAATTGTGCGTGGAGGAGCTTTGGTGACGCCAGCTTTAAACACGCAAAACACAAGAGAGTGGTCACTCAACGAGCATGGAATCACATCACTTCGGACAATTCTCTGACTATTGTTAACAAAAATCAGGTCAATCATGGTTTCTGATATTTCAGTGATTCTTGTTGGCTTCGTGATTAGTTGGTCTAAGTGAAACTGGCCAGAGAAATTATGGAGTAGTTGTTTCGAGGGTGAACGGGTTTTTTTGCTAAGGTCAATATTAAAGTCACCTAACAAAATGAGTTCGCTGTTATTTGGAAGTTTGAGAATAATATTGCTCAACATGGATAAGTAGTTTTCAAGAGGATTGTTCGGTGCTCTGTAAATACAACAAATAAACAGTTTCTTAGATTTAACTCGTAAAACTTCAATCATACAGTTTTCGAGATCGTTATTCATCAAGTCCGAATGGGTTTTAAAAGGTATACCATCACGAACATAGATGGCAGTACCACCACCGATTTTGTTTTGACGGTCCATTCGTATAATTGAATAACCAGGTAAAGCTACTTCGGAATCTGAGATATCGGGTTTAAGCCATGTTTCGGATGCTGAGAAGATGTCGAATGGTTTATCCTTCATTTCTAATCGTAGTGTATCAATTTTAGGTAACATGCTTCGGGTATTTAGATGAGAGATTTTTAATCCACGTACATTAGGTGGAGGTATGGAGAAGTTACATGTGGGACCAGGATTAGTTGCGATATCATTTGATAAAGATATAAGGATCATAGAAATGGAGAAATTCATGGCGATGTGAAGTCCGCGCATTCATTTCTTACTTGGCGAGACAGGGCTGAGATAAGTAGAAGTTGCATGAGAGCGTTGGGGATTGTGTAAATGAGAGTATTCCGTCATGTTAGGGGTTGATAATAACTGAGACACGTACAATGATTCATAGTTGCAGGCTTCAGGTGTAGTTACGGTCATTAAGTCTCTGCTTAAGTAAGATAAGTTGAGGTATAAATGTAGAATGACTAGCAGGTTGCGTGGGGTGAAAATCAATACAGCAAAGGCCATAGTCAGTAATGAGATGAACTAGCTATACACCAGCTATACACTAGACAAGGGTCAAGTTAGGGTCAAGTTGTGAAATCCAATATACACTAGCAACAAAAATTCATCTAATAATGTCCAGATATATACAAAGTTACAGATGATGCACCAACAGAATGGCAGGAAAACGTACTGTCGTTACCATTAGCAGAACAGGATACCAATGTTCGATATATAATACAAAAATTTTAATTATTTGATCTTGTTACACGCGGGAAATTTAAAGTACTGTTGCCAGGAGACGAACAACAAAAGATGCGAAAGCCAACGGTCAAAATATATGGAATGATGAATAAATTCAAATTCGACACAGCATATATACTGGTAAACTTGGTATAAGTGTTGTATCCAATAAAAGATAAGGTTCCTCTCAGTGATGAAAATTCGGTAGCAATTTAAAGCGTAATATTCCAAATAGTTTACTGATTTATAGACACTGTCTGCAGTCTATATACACAGACGTAGCAATCACAAGTCCACCATAAATGCGTGATAGGATGGGTATATATACACAAAATATGAATCCAATGAACGCTGATAGGTTTATATATGATTTTATTTCGGATTCACATAGATTTCCTTATATCTTGAGATAATTATTAATTGAAATATACAGAGGTCAGCAGTGCCCGGCCTGCTACCATGCTACCATGTTACCGTTCAATTAAGGGAAGAGACGGAAGACCAAGAGCTGCAAAATTAAGAGTTGGTACTGGCAACCTTGAACGTGCCCTTCAACACCTGTGTCCCCTGGAACTGTCGTGCGATTGGCAACAACCACCTCAACTTGACGCAAATGCACCCACGTTTCAACCAAGACCAAAAAGAGATGCAGCGGCGGCGGCGGAAGTGCGGATTTAAAGTGCACATGACATGAAATTTTTTATTTTCTTAAATGAAAGAACTTTTTAAGTTGTAGTGTAACTTATTTTTCAGTTTCTTGTTTTTATGGTTTGTTCCCAAGATATTTCAATTTGTTTGATATGTAAATGAGTGTGAATATGTCCGCTAATTTGTGACGTCATGTTGGTTGCAAGCTCTTCAAAATGGTTGAATATCACTGCTATCATCCAAGATGATAATTTCAAACTTCACTCACTGGTAAATGTGATGAAACACTGGAGAAAAACGTAAACTGCTATGAACAGTTTTTAGAGTTAATACATTTAAAACCAGTGTAAGTTGAGTTTGATTTAAGGAAATAAAAAATTTCATGTCATATGCACTTTAACAAACGGCGGAAGAAGACAACGATTACTAAACGAACTGTTTAAGTCTATTAAGTAAATTTTCTAGAGTTGATATTTGACGTTAGCTATTATGTTGGAACTTGTATGTCAGACGGATGTACTGAAACATGCATATCACTCCGTGGATATACATGGGAGTGTGTCCGGAAATGGGATTGATATCCCCGGTGGACTTTATCGCCGGTAGCTGACGTCACCGACCACGCTACCGGAAGTGCAAGCTAAGCATGTTTTTTAGGTATTCGGGAAAATTGTGAAAATACACAACAAGATTGTGATTTTTAAGCTAAATATATTTGTTTTAAACCTTTTATTGTGACTTGTTGTGGGATACATATCCTTGGAGGCGGGAATCCCCAACAACTGCTGTCTAGAAATTCTTATCCAATTCAACTGAATTCAGAAAATCTTTCACATTTTAAAATGTGTAGGGAGCCATCTCAAACCGCAACATTTACGCTCAAACTAGAACGACAATTCCTAGACAATCAAAGAACAGAAACGTACCTCCCACATGTACGAAGTATCCATGCCGTTGATACTTTTAAAATCAATTTTGACTCCAGTATAAGGGCCGAAACGCGTTCTTTCTGGTATCTTGTCTTTCGCGAAAACTCCTTGTCCCGCACCAGGAATTGAAGAAAGTTTTACATACAAACTGGCAGGGAGTGTTTTTACCGCATACTTGGAACCAGACCTTGTCTTTGGCGCAGTGTTGGCAACAATCGTGAAAACGTGTCTGTCACAATGAGGGCCATGAATGTACTTCTCACATCGATCACAAACTGGAAAATTAAAAGAATATTTTAAAATAAATTCGCCCAAAATGACCTTATAACAATTATAATCAGGGCCTTCGCTCGAAACGTCGACTTTTTATTATTTTTCAGGTCAAGTTGAATCTCTCTCAATCTGCAATTTTCTGCCGAAAGCAGATAGGGATCTATTCTTCACTCTTGGGTTGCCTTTTGCTCGTGCCCAGATCTATGCCGACCTATGTATATAGCCGACAGAAACTGGATTAGTTCGAATTTCATGACGTCTGTAACGTATAATTTTACCCACACACCATGCACGAGGGCGCATGCTGATTTAAGTACGGTTATATAAATTTAATACGGTTATATAAACGGAGTTTTCTATACGGTTAGTATTACAAATTTTTACAAGCATGGGGCAAGCATGGCTTTCGATTTTTGTAGATGTTTTTTAAAAGCCTGAAGCCTTTGATCTTCTCTGTTATCAAATAAATCCTCTTTCGATCTAGTAATGGAGTATTAAACGTAATGTTGACCACCTATATTTTGTTATATTCATTTATATTAGGCCTACTTCTGTCTTGTTTATGTGCTTTAAAAACATTGGATCCGCAGCCACCACAACGATAAAATTATAAATATCAATGCTGGGACCGGTTGTTCGATCGTAGCCCGTGTAGGCTAAACGGTGAATAAGTCGAAAATATTGATCAAGTAGATTTATCAAGTAGCCAAAACAAAAATATTTCAACTTGAGTAGAACAACTATGTTTGCGACTATATATTTAGTGCATGAGATTTAAGATGTGTGAATCTGCATAACCTGAATCCGGGGAGAAAGTCCTGAAAATGACCCTGCCCTGAAACGGCAGTGCCGACATAGCTCTAACTTCCGAAACGGAAAAGCAATAGCCTTTCTGAAGTGCTTATAGTGTTTAGAAGGGTTGCTTTTAGGCGTGCTTATTATTGGAAGGAAAAATTTGTCTAAGTATAATATTTTACAAGAAAATGACCATGCACCACCCCAGGGAAATTGCTAATTATGCATAAGGTCCATAAAATAACTGATATGCCTGGCAGAAATTAAGTGTTCTTATCTCCTAAAAAAATTATCATAGGATAAAAAACTATGCTTAATCTAATATATTTATTGTAGTTTTCATAAGGATTGTCATTGTTTTCTTTAAATATGATACATTTTATTTCACTCACCCCCCACGAGTTCTGCCATATTTTGCCGTCGTGTTTGCTTTTTATCGCCGAGTACGCAAATATCATCCAGTTATTGTACTTTTACATAATGATAAATGGCTAAAAAAGATTTTCAACCAAGTTTCATGAAGTTTTGAAACAGTGCAGTGTGTTTATCTTCGATATTGTGCCCTTTGATATTTCGTCAAATTGCCGCCGTCGCTTCTCTGCCCGATAAATGCCACTTCTTCGTTTTCATTTGTAGGCCTATTTAGATTACAGTATCAAGAGTACTTGATCATTATAGAATTAGTCCCAATCGAAAAATTGAAAACATTAGTTGTACTTGAAAGGGAAAAACCTCCCATAACCCATTAGGTTCAAAATAAAAAAACAAGTCATTTGAAAGTCATGCGCAATCTTCGCGAAAACTTCTCGTGGCTACATGACAGATAGAGTGTGAGGGTGAATATTTTCACGAAACGTTTGTTTGCCACCACAGCAACCTAACTAAATACAGTTATATTTATTGTAAAAAATAGATATTTGCGTATATGTAGTTGTCATCAATCATAAAAATACAATAAATACAATAAATTTAGTTAGGTTATTGTGGTGCCGACAAACGTGTCGTGAAAATATTTACCCCCCTCCCCGTCATGTAGCCACGAAAAGTTTTCGCGAAGATGCCCGTGACTTTCAAATGATTTGGTTTTTTATTTTGAACCTAAATGGGTTATGGGAGGTTTTTTACTTTCAAGTGCAACTAATGATTTCAATTTTTTGATTGGGACAATTCTACAATGAAGTACTCTTGGATACTCTAATCTAAATACATATGAAAACGAAGAAGTGGCATTTATCAGGCAGAGAAGCGGCGAGCCGTTAAAATGACGAAATATCGAAGGACACAATATCGAACATAAAATACACTGCACTGTTTCAAAACTTGATGACACTTGGTTGAAATCTTCTTTAGCCCTTTATCATTATGTAAAAGTACAACAGCTGCATGATATTTGCGAGACTCGGCGATAAGATAAACTGAAAGCAAACCATGACGGCAAAATATGGTTGAAATCGTCTTTTCGTGGTAAAATGTAACGAACAGGCCGTAAAACAAAGATGGAGACTTTCTACAGGGTGAAAAGATACTGTTTGTTACCTTAGCTGACTGCTGACTTTGTTTGTTTGTTTGTTTGTTTGTTTGTTTGTTTGTTTGTTTGTTTGTTTGTTTGTTTGTTTGTTTGTTTGTTTGTTTGTTTGTTTGTTTGTTTGTTTGTTTGTTTGTTTATATTAAATAAGTCGAAAGTCTATTACTGTAACGACATTTGAATAGTTATTTCAAATAATAGAAATATGCGCTTTTTATTGGCTAGAATAATTACACACACCCATTCACACCCCGGTCAAAAATCTACCGGTAGATTTGGCGCGCTGCAAGTGAAAAAGTCCTTTCCAGCGAACACACGAACCGCGCAAAAAAACTGGAAAGGACTTTGGGAAAGTCTAGCATGCATGGTACATTTATGTTATATAGTCACGGCATTTAGCATAATTATGTTAGGTTAAAATTAGTCACAGGAAATCTTAGAATTATAGGATTGCTTCATAGATTGTATGTACGGCTAATTGTTTTTCATTTAGCATCCATTTAATGTGCATGCATGATTGGGTACAGTATTTACTGTCTGTACCTCAGCAATTTTGTCCCATTTCGCGTATAACTCATAAAATACTCATTAATTAATTAATAATTCATGAAGAAAATTCAAATATTGAAATGAATGTTTAATCAATGTTTGTAAATCGGATAAAGATTTGCCCTGATTTACATAAACTTCAGCTTTGATTTTCTCGGCATAAACAATGTTAATTTATAAAATTACTTCGCCAATGAACTCATAGGATGGGTCATTTTTCGTTCGAGCCGAAGGCGAGAGTTTGTGTATCAGATAAAGATCGGATGCTAACGTTTTAACGTATTCAGAAAACGGCTCATCTTATGTGCTCATTAGCGAAGTAATTTTAAAAATTAACATTGTCTATGCCGAGAAAATCAAAGCTGAAGTTTATGTAAATCAGGACGAATCTTTATCCGATTTACAAACATTGATAAACATTCATTTCTATATTTGAATTTTCTTTATGAATTATTAATGAGTATTTTAAGAGTTATATGTGAATGGTTTTCTGGCAGTTGATTGCGGCAGAGACTGCAATCTGAACATTCTTTGTGATATCATCAAATATAAACAAAGTGACTCTACAGCCGGCAGCCGGGTATTTAGTAAACTGTCGGTTATATAGTGACTATAGCTAAATATAAAAACGTTTGTTTTGTGTGCGTGCGGAAAGTGAAATGCAGTCGCGGGTCTTGTTGTGTTTTGTCTGACTTAGCATTCATACTAGAAAAAAGGCAATTCCTTTGCGCAGATACATGTACGCTTAGCGTACCTATTTTTCGATTTCTAATGGCCAATTAAATATCACCATCTTATGTCTGTTGTATGGTTACGTTGAAAATGCGACTGCATTAGACAGAGACAAAGGGTCGTTGCTTGTGAATGCGATTGGG